CGTATGGAAATCTTATGGCCAGGCAGTGTGTACACTGTGTCGCCCGTTCCCCAATGTAGCACTCGTACTGAAAGGAATTTACAATGTAGAGAGTCCCCATCATTTTGTTGTTGATCTAGACCACCTCGACCTTTGCGAGCTCGAGGGGTTCCAACTGCAGAACTTCCTTTTCGTTTCGGCATGATCAGATCTAGATCTAGATTCTTATCTCAGATCTATTGACGTTGTTCCCAGTAGCAAGAAAAAGAATTTGACAAAGTAGTCCAGAAAAAGCGAAGACGGGCATCAAACAAAAGGATCGCAGTCGAATTTAGCACCAAGTAGAAAAAGAAAACATGAGGCTAGATCTATATGGGTCGCACACTTAAAATAGTGCTCAGCATTGCGCGACAATGCGTGATAGTATCGAACGGAAGTACGACATGAAATAAACAAACTTAGCGGATTTTCTAAAATTACAGAGACAGAAGCGTCGGCCTACAAAAGCGATCGGCGAAATAAAGAAGTTTAGCTTTTAGCAGCAAAACTGTCTCAAAACTGAAAAAACGAACGGTGCCATGATCTGGAGAATATTTTAAAGAATATTTTGGCGAAAACCGCATGTCGATCGAAGCAGCCATTAAAAAGCCTTTTGAATAGCAAAATTCGGCCACCACAAATACTAGATCTAGATCTAGATAACAGATTACTCTCATTTCACAGACGTTCAAACATCTTCATTATGATATGATGTCTGGCTGCTCATGTCGAATACATGAGCAAAATTTGAGAAAAATGCCTTTTCATTAGGAAATCAGGACTTTAACTCATGACCTTCAGGTTGCCTGTACGGCGCTCTTCCCCTTTTTTTACTCTGTATTTTAGTAGCTATATTTTTATAACTGACAACAGTCAGAGAAATACCAACGGCCTGCTTTGTTCCTGCTGCAAATGGCACGAATGTGTTTTTCGAGACAGCTGAGCAGCTTTTTACTTTTGCCTACTTGCTGTTAGGTTACAGGAGTTAAGGTAAGCTTGTCAGAGGGTCACGCGAAGAATATTTTTAACAATTATATGATTATGAAGTCCTATACAGTCATTAACGCCAGAAAAAAATCTCTTGTAATTTTTAGTAGTAGTAGTAGTAGTAGTAGTAGTAGTAATAGTAGTAGTAGTAGTAGTAGTAGTAGTAGTAGTAGTAGTAGTAGTAGTAGTATTTGATCGTATTGTGGTGGTTTTTCTTATTAATTTCAAAGAGGGGAGTCACTCTGTAAAACAATAAAAAATGAAAGAAAAACAGTATTGAAACGACTCTCTTTATTCAAGACAAAGAAGTTACTTTATTTTTGTAAATGTTTTAAGTATTGGTACAAACATGGAAACATCGTTTGAGCACAGTGCACAGAAGACAAAATTGTATGAAAAGGGTGGGGGCGAGGGGCAATTTTAATACCCCCCCCCCCCCACCTCTCCTGTCCTTCAATTTCCCATTTCAAACTCAACACTCTCCCTCCCCTCGCTTTTCACATTCCTTCCCACCCCTCCCCCATCGTCCCCGTACACTATAGCGTTCTACGTATTATCACACAGGAGAGCCGTTCGCTCAATAAATCATAATAATATGTCAACCGACTCAAGTTCAAATCTATGACGGCATGTTCCACAAGCAACGCTGTCTTTTTTTTACAGTCAGCACGTTCGTGTCCTCACATCTGGAAAAAATTCGGCCCGCTCCGCTGGAATTACGTAAGCAAACCAGAACCAATTTTGTGAAAGCTGTGTGGGAAGCTGAACAAATGCAGCGATGTAATGCTTTCATCATGACAAACCCTGACAGGCATAAAACAACCGGCGCATTCATCAGTTATTTTCGTCATGATTATATGCATTGCTCTTGCTCGCGCTTTTGTTTCGGCGGGTTACATTCCCTTCCTTCTGAAAATAGATGCCATCTGGCTGAAGTCGACTCCAGTTGCATAATAGGTCGACAGGAAACCTGAAGCGTGTTTAACGCGGTGCTAGTTGCGTGCGTTCTTAACTCTTTGGGACGTAGCTACATATTGTCATTATGATATTACGCCCGACCAGAAGCAGACACTGTTACAGCACCTTTCAAACCATCATACGCTTTTTAGGTACATGAACTTTTACTTTCTCCTTCCTTTTGTATCGTTGGAAGTCGAGGGGAGTTGCGATTTCCGGTTCAGGGCAAGGTGGGTGGCTTCTGTAGTTGATTCTTTTTTAGGCCAGCAAATGCATTTGCTAGTTTTTATATTACGCATCTTTTTTTTTTCAGAAAAAGAAATTGAACTGGTGGGTGGTTGGAGGACGCCGCTGGTAGGGCCTACTTTTTATTTTCTCCGTTGTTGTTTCTGTTTATCTGTTTTACTTCTTCCCAGCACTAAGTGATCATTTTTGTGTCCATGTGCTTCTTTCTACTCAATCAAACACACGCACAAAACATAACTAAAAGATCTGGATGAGCAATGAAGCGTACGCTTCTATTTTAGAGAGCACCAATATAGTTCGCCTTCAGCCGATGTCGACTGACCAAAATGTGTATCCTTAATGAGTTAACCATGATGGCGTTAAAAGTATAGACGCCTGCTTCCTTTTTATGACTAGAATGAGAATAAATGTTTTACACTTTCCCTGACCTGAAATACGGCCGTTACGGTTCTCTTCCAATCGTGTGTGTTGACAACACTGTGGTGCGTGTAGAAGGTTGAAAGTATTGTGCTCTCTGCCGAAGTCCTACAGCACCACGGAGTTTGTCTGTACGAAAGAGATAATACTAACCATTCGTTAGGATCATAATAAAAATATTTCAGAAGGAGCTAGAATAATTCGAACGTTTCTCGTATTTGATAGACAAAGTACTCATCTATGTTCATGAAGATTTTCACCTACTGTATCACAGTTAGCTGTCGACTTGTCCGGACAATGACTAGTTAAAACTATTTGCCTACGCATTTCAGTAGTTATTGTTTCGGGAAATGTTTGAAACGACATGTCAAAAACACTCGGTGAGGCTGATATGCTGAATTGGAAAGCTGACCGATAGTGACACTGAGAAAAATAAAGAGAGAGAGAGAGAGAGAGAGAGAGACAGACAGACAGACAGACAGAGAGACAGAGAGACAGAGAGACAGAGAGACAGAGACAGAGACAGAGAGAAGCAGAGGCCGGAACAGAGGCTGATATAGAAATAGTAGAAATAAATATACTCAGAAACAGAGATAGGAAAGCGACCCCCCAAAACACAGAGAAACACAGTTCATAGGTGAGGGTGGGGAGGGGTGGGTGGGTGGAAGACGCAGCCAAATGTTTGAACAGATAGGGGAGCAGGAAAACTGATGTATTTTCGATTGTTTTTCATGCCAATTAACTCTCTGTCCCATTTTTTGGTGGTATTTTCAGAACTTGGATACAGAAGCATAGTTGTTCCAGTCTGTTTTCCGTGGTCTGTGTCTTTGACGTGGCGTTGTCGACTCTCCGCAAAAGGCAATGTGTAGGCAAACGTCTTTGGCTCTCTGTGCACACTCTGGACAAAGTGTCGTTTGCCAGGATCACGTGATTAAGTGAGTTCCGGTCCGCCATGGCGTTCAGTGGGATGACCATCTTCTGGATGGCCTTTGGCTGTCTGTTCGGACCGCTCTTCATTGTGGCCTGCATCATGTCCGTCGTCAAAGCTGTCCGGTGAGTTTGGTTCCACGATTTCTCCGAAGCTATATCATGTTAGTACGTTTGTTTTTCTGCCCAATTTTTTTTAACCTTTTGTTTATTTCTATGTTCACTGAGCTTGCCATACCGCTAAGCACCAAAATCTGCAATGCTGGGATCGTAAGGCTGACATTACACGAAGTGTTTTACAGTATACTTGCCGAATGAATTCCTTATTTCACGCGTCTGAAGTGAAGGCGGGTTCTCCGTTAGCTCAGTTGACATCATGCTGAACAACGGAGCGGATAGCCCCGGTTCAAATACCAGTCTGGGCGTCTTGAACTCAGTCGTTTTGTGGAGTTTGGCTCGGACTTATCGGAGACAGAGGTTAAATTCTGAGGCCTTGCGTCTTACTTTACTTTTACTTTTATCCGCCGCTTATACCCTTTTGGGTGTTGCGGGAAAAAAGAGGCGTCTCTCTGCCACCAGCCGAAGAGCCTGAGTCAGGGGGATGCTTACCTGATTCCATCTATCAAGGTCTTCCTTGGTCCCCCTCTAGCTTCGTTGCCATCGCTTTTTTATGTAGCCACGTTGAGCTAGGTGGTGTGTTGGTAATCCTCGCGTCTATAATAACCTAATTAATAGTGTTGATAGGGGCGTTAAACTCATACATACTGAATATACAGCTGGTGCAACTCGTAAGTCAATAGGTCGGGGAGTGGGGGTGGAGGAGGGTGTAAGGGATGGATGTGTATGTGTGGGGGGGGGTCTGGGGAAGGGAAGAGGAAGGGGGAATATTCAATTTGCTCCGTTATTAGAAAGCTGCAGAGTGTCTGTGTAGCCGCTGCCAAGAGAACCAAGGCCACATTAGGCCTAATTCGCAGCTGGCAATTTTATTGCAGAGGCGTGTAATTGTTTCAGTGAGTCCCAACCACATACTGAAAGAGAAGTTTCAATGGCTTTTTTGGGTGTCAATACCAAAAAGTGCATGGAATTAAAATTTGTTCCAATGGACACTAGATCCCGACGGATAATAATAGTAATAACAACAATATGATTACAATAGTAATAATAATAATAGTAACAACAACATCAGTAACAACAACAACAACAATAATAATAATAA